TGAAGGTGTATGTCGAAATTCATGTTTATGTGTGCATATGGAGATGTTTAGCTTTGCAGGAGAAAGAAAATATGCAGGGCATAGAAATGTAATTATAACATTGGGGAATGTTTTAACGCCTGCAGTGTAACTGTAATCATAAGGTGTTAAGAAGTCTCTTTCGGTGCTTCGCTATATTATAAAAAGGACCAAATAAAGAGTGGTTAGTTATAGGAGAGGGCCGCTTTGTGTTTATGATTAATTTGTTTTATTACTTACATTAAAAAAATACATATATAAACGATTGAATGCAGTTTAGAAACTTGGGTCCATAAGCACTTGAATGTTGTTTCTTAAGGTTTTACAGCATCGATTATTTTTAGAAGATTTTTTGCGCCTTTATCACAACGACTGAACGGTCTGAATAAATGAAGTGGGACTCTATACTAGCTAATTAGAAAGTTCCAGTATAATGCATATACAGACTTGACATTTCATATGGAATATTTAATATTGAACTCTAATAGCCAAGTGATAATATTAGATTAGGTGAGTCTTGCCTCATCTGGCTGCTACCAGGGCTCTCAAACGGCAAGCAATTCATTTTGACACGTTTCTTAGAGTTTGATTGAACAACTTTCCAAGTATGGATCAGAACTTGTCCAGTTTGTTCAGGTTTGTTGTAGGAACAGTACGCCGTTGATTCGGTGAGTGGTTATTACCCGCAGATTGTCTGTATAATTTTAATCTGGTAATTTTGATGGCTGCGGCAGCTGCTCAGACCCTTGGTTCTGCATGCAATCTGCAAATACAGGTTCTCTGTGTGGTCGGGCATTTTCATCTTTGTAAAATTAAATTATTTCTGAGGTGCCTTCTTACAAATGGTGGGCAGGTGTTTTCAAAAATATTTCTATATTTGAATGATGTGAATTTTTCTTCAGTCAACAGCTAATATTGAGATAGGTTTTACCTCCAATATTTTATATTTGGCGTGATTCAGATTTACATCGACGACTTCAATTGGTGTTTTGGCTCCAATGAATTCGTTTTCCCTCCTCCCGTCACTCTAGGAGCGACACAAGTCTTTAGGCCTCTTCAGGAACTCTGTGAATTCTAACTTGATCACCTTCAGGCCTACCCAACTACCAGACTCGGCACCGAATGATCCTGAATTCACCGCTAGATCGGACCACACTACCCGTTTCAAGGTGTGAGTCAGTACGCATTTCACATTATCATACCCCGAACAGATTTTGAGTGGTGATGCAATGCTTTTCAACGCCGCTGAGAATCGTCACTATCACATCGCGTACTAGGCAAGAACGGTGTCGCGTCTGATACTGTGAAATGCGTACTGATACACACCTTGAAAACGGGTAGTGTGGTCCGATCTACCGGTGAATTCAGGATCATTCGGTGCCGAGTCTGGTAGTTGGGTAGGCCTGACCTTGGCATTACAGATGAAATCTGACCTAAAAGGTGAAAGCCACATGATTCTAATGTTGTTCCCGGTGTAACGAGACAGAAAGTTTCCCATGACAGAGAGCTCGCTTCCCATTCATTTGTACAGGTAAGACTCACCCTAGTGGTGACCCATTTAGATCAGGCTAACCCTAATTATTAAAACTAGATGGAGGGCGGACTTTCTGTTACACGCACCTTTATTTTCGTTACATCGCAACCGTTGAAGGTTCCCAACTTAGATAATGTTGACAGCAATTTTCTGCTCATTGTCTAAAAATTTTGCTAAAATGACCCTAGGAATGCGTGAATGACTGCTACACTTAAACGTAAGTTTAATATAGTAAGTTTAATATGGGAAAGATTGCGCAGGTTGCCCGAGTCCCGACTGACTGTTAAATATGAATGAGAAGCCAGAGAGGCGCGACAGGGCAGTTAGAGATACAAGCAAACAACGTTTGTACAATGCCACATTTTACTGATAAAATAGGTATAAATACACACACTGGACAAAAGAAGTGTCACCCCCTAACTCAGAGTAATGAAAGTAGGCAGATCTTGGGTACTTATAATGCCTGGACTACTTATAATGTGACTAATGAGTATAAAACCGCTATACCATGGCATTGTATTGTTGGTCTTGTACATGTACAGCAAATGTTATTCCTGTCTTCCTCCAGTATGGCAAGATACAGGTAATTATCTAACGGTTATAGGTGCAACTTATTAACCTGAAGAGGCGGAATATAAGCAATGTCAGAATATCGATACAATTGAATTGTTCAGTCAGAACTGTGCAGAGGGTCTGGTCTCGGTATAGAAACACTGGATCAAGAGACAAATTGCCTCTGATG